CTCTCTCTCTCTCTCTCTCTCTCTCTCTCTCTCTCTCTCTCTCTCTCAGTAACTCAAACATGAATTATTAAATTTCTATTTTGGGTTTTTTCCCCATCCATGACAAAGGGCAATGACATCCATATGGCCAACCTAGAATCCCAGAATAGCCTGAGATTTACTATCGAGTAGTTTCATGAAACTTAGTATTTATGTTATTTCAACATGAGGAAAAAGAAGTAACTTATCCAGAGAACTAGGACCACAAAGAAAAGAAGCACTGGTCATAGAAAGGAAGCTCATTACTTCAGATTTCTCAATTATTTCCTAGAGTTTGAAGCAAATACTGCCTTACTGACATTGCACTGGGATGGAGACACCAACTATTTTGGAGATAAAATTGCAATGAATAACTCAATCCTCAAAAACTCATTCCTAACCAAGTAAATGTTAGGTGGTTAAAAAAAAAAAGTTTCATCAGTACCAAGGTGCATCATAGCCTACCTGGAGTTCCTTTTAATCAAATTCAAATATGGTTGGGGGAAAAGATCCCAGAATCAAATCCTCATTTTACTCTCACTTGGAATGATCCTAATAAACTAAGCTTTTAGAATAGCTTATAAACAGGGAAGAAAGCTTCTGCAGAGATGAATATCATCACCCATGGCATTTGCTCTTCTATTCCATTTCGATTTCCCAAAGAGCTTTCCAACCCTTCCTTTATTTAGATATTAGAGAGAAGCAATAGCTTGGCACAGGTTCTCTCTGAATGGATTGATGTAACCAAAGGCTGCACAATTCCATGGGCCCAAATCTATGCTAGCTATTGCTAGGTTTGTTTAGGTTTTTAAGGGCTCAAAGAAAACTCAAATGAATTAACCACAGTGCCAGTTCAAATAGAAAATGAGGATCCAGCTGAAAACATACTTTTCCTAGGGATATATTAAATTCTAGAGCACAGAGTGATTTTATATCATTGGGCATAATAATATTTGCATATGTATATATCACAATAATTTAAAAAGAACTTTCACACAGAGTATCTGATTTTATTTTCCCAGTGCCTCTGTGAAGTAGGTAGACTAGTTTATTTCTATTTTATGGATGACTAAACTGTTTCTCAGAGAGACTTGCTTAAGATTATATGGCTAATAAGTGGGAAAACAGCAGCTAAAACCAATGACTTCCTCTTCCTATTCCAATATTCCTTCTACCACAACATGGTACTTTTTCTTTTTGTATAACACTTATCTACTACAGTCCGTGAACTGGTACCATGATATCAGACCTAATTTTCTTGGCTTCCCATGGAATTTTCCATTTACTCCATCTGGGTGCTCCCCCTCCACCATGACTGTCACGTACTTTTGCCCTGCCTTACAGAATCCTCGGCTTCTCTCAAGCATAGTTTAGGCACTATCTCCTACATGAGTCCTTTTCCTGATGCCCCAAGTTATTAATGCTCTCTTCTTCTTGAAATTACTTTGTATAACTATATATTTCATATTTAATTTTGCACACACATTGCTTTCCCCCTATAGAGTGTAAGTTCTTTAAGGGAAGGGACCTTGTTTTGTTTTTGGCACCTAGCACAGTGTGTGAAACTAGTGGGACTTTAAGTGTTTTTGTTGAACTGAATGGTGTGTTGACATGCTATTCTCATTAACCCATTCTAGAGAGCATTTGGGATGACAACAGTGTCTTCACAAGGGTAATTAGTACCAACACTATAAAGACTTCAAAGTCTCACACTGACACCTACCTTGCCATAGATTTCATTGATTGTTATATGAACAAATATGGATGCTTCTGTCAGCCCTTCCAAGTAGACATGACGGTAGCCTGATAAAAGAACAGCAAGTTTTGTCAATGCGACTCTATGTATTGTCCTCCTCTTTATACGTAACATGCTTCATTAGCAATATTTTATATTGAGGACCCATCAGTTTAGATACCCAGAGTGGGGCTGTACTGACCAGGCACAAGGCTACTGAAAGTCACCGTTCTTTGTCCAACGAAGTCTCTTCCAATGGGGTCATGATCCCAAACCAGAAACCGAACCAAAGCTATATCCGGCATGTGTATGGTAAATGTCAGTGTCTCTTCCCAAACAGGGTTAAATCCTCGGGGAAACACAAGACAGGAGAAAACATCAGATGGCCAAAATATTTGGCTGAAAGTACATTGACAAAAACATCAGGATATAAATGATGGAAATTATTCATGAAGTAATATTTCTATGAAATCTTCAACCATCTAAAGAAAATCTAGACCCTTCTTCAGCCATTGACAAGAGAATGGACCCTATATCATGCCCCCAATTCCCTGCTCATGTATAAGCACTGCTTAATATTGTCCAATGAACTCAAGTTCCCAAAGGATATGAAACAAAGACTTGTCTTCAGTAGACCACAGAGTCTCAGAAAACTGTTTCAAGGGAAATGCTAAAGAATCCCTGTAAGCCCTAGTACTCCTAATACTTTGGTCTTTCTCTGGGACCAAAGAGATATGAAATGACATCTCAAAAACTGATTTTCCAGGTTCTTCAAATCTTTCCTGGAAAATGCCCATAATCAGAAACAAAGACCGAAAGCATGTAATGAGTCCATTTATGAGCATCATTATTTAGTATACAATGAAGTCAAGATACCTAATTGCAAAGAAAAATAGAGCTACATGCACTCAAAAGTCATATGAATCTCTAAATTTCTAAAAAATCAAAAACTACAACAAAAAGACCTCTTTTTTATGTATCCCTCTTGATTTTAGTATATAAACTGCAGACTTGGAAAGATTTATCTATCTATGCTAATGTTCTCTAGAGAGAAAAGCTGGACCCTGAATTTTACAGAACCCTAGAATTAGAGGGTTGAAAGGGATTCCTGTGAAATCACCCATGAACAAAAAGAAATCCCTCTATGGCATATGCAAGCGGGCACTGAGGCTTCACTGAGGTAAAGAGACATTGAAATTTTCTGGGTTGATTTGAATTTAACTAAAACAGAAAGTCTTAGTAAAATCAGTTGCCATTTTTTTAGGTTGTAATACAGGGAAAAGAAAGCTAACTCTTGGTGGTTTCACTAGGATATAAATAACTATTCAGTCTTTTCATTCTTTAATTCTTCCAAAATGCATTTGACCACCTGCCTTCCATCTTGAACTAATCACTAACCCGATGGGATGGTGTCCAAGTTGTAAATTGAAAGTTACTAAGGTGACAGGCCTGACCAAGGGGAAAGGAGATGCCTCGAAGCCGTGATTACCTCTTTGTCTGGCCTAGTGAAAATCTATCAAGCAATTCTGCTGAGGCTGAGAAAGAAGGTGGATGGGATTTGCCTTATTGTAAAAGAACACAAGAAGGCAAATGTGTTACTTTTAAACATGGTGTTTCCATCAGTCATATGCTTTAATCTACCTTCTTGAGTTCTCAAGTTCTTTTTCTTCACGTAACCAGTACACAAAACAAAAGCAAAACAAAAAAAAAATTATGGCTCTCTTTTAACCCCAAATCTACAAGTGTCTTGAGAGGTTATCAAAACTGGTTGATAAGACGTGATGTGGTATAAAGCTGGACTCATCTTGGCTGTGTGACCCTGGGCAAGTCACTTGAGTCCTTTGGGCTATTCTCTGTAAGCTACATGCTGCAAAGCAGTCTGGCAGCTTCATTGCCTTTCAGTTCTGAAACTCAGGATCTCTAAAGGGCTAACATAAATAGGAGTTCTACCACTTGGGCTCCTTCTCATTGATTTTTGGCAAGGTACAGACATTCATATTCACACATTCACACACACACAGGGAGCTTTTATAAGGCCAATAGACTAGATCTGCATTGGTAGAGGGAGTTCTTCACTAGGAACTTCCTACATCAATGAAATCACAGATCTGGCCCTAGATCAATCAATAGATGGACAGATAGATAAATGATTGATATCTATTAATCAAAATCCATGGATGGTTCATACATAGATGTATAGATAATTGACAGGTGATGGATAATACATAAGTGAAGATGATAGATAAATGGTAGATGATTGATACATAGATAAAAGATTGATTGATGATAGGAATACAAAGATAGGTGACAGATAAATTGATGAATAAATGATATTTATCAATCAATATCTATAGATGGTTGATACATAGATAATAGATAGATGGTAAACAATACATAGATGATGATGATAGATGACTGATAGATAACATATAGATAGATAAATGATATATAAATGATAGAAATAGATGGATGGATTGATGATAGGTAGATAAACAAATTAAGTATACATATACATGAATGAAAAACGAATGACTAGATAAATGAAAAAATGAGTGAATAAAAACATTCATTTGGTACTTTAAAGTTTATCAGTTATCTTACACATGTTATTTCATTTGATCCTTACAACAACTCTCTGAAGTAGGTGCTATTATTATCCCCATTTTACAGGTCATGAAACTAGAGTCTGGGAAATGGTCAATGACTTGCCCAGTTAAGTGTCTGAGGCAGGATTCAATCTCAGGTGCTCCTTACTCTAAGTCCATGACTGTATTTACTGCAGCACCCAGCTGGTCTAAAATACCAGATTCACCAGGCTAATATGTGAAAGGTAAGAAGAACAGCATTACAACAGCAGATGGAAAGGAAGGGCAGAATGCCTTGAGCAAAATGTCAGAGAAAGTGGGTCTTTAATTGCCCGCAGTGTTCATGAAATGTGCCTTGTCTGGTTGGGCAGGCCATGTCTACCATTGGGATTTCAGGTGACCAAGGGAAGGAGCACTTCCCAGGCCCTTTGGAGCTATCAGAGATTAGTGACGTAGGGAAGCCTCTGGCACCATACAGGAAATAAAAGATATAGTGCCCGAGGTACCTCTCACTAAACTTCTGCCTTGGCAAAATTCTGAAGAGCCAAAGCATCACCCAACTAGTCAGATTTGCTAAGCCAATTTCCACCACTGAAACAGAGAGGGCAGAAATGGGTAGTCCTCAATGCTTTTTTTTGCCCAAACAGAAACAATTTTCTCTTCGAGCTTAGCCCTATTTGTGAGCACCTTGCTTCCAAACCATTGAGCCTCTTACCATTGTCATCCACCACTCGAGTTTGTTCTTTGCAACAATCTACAGGCAGCCCAATGATTTCCACTTCAACAAATGGGTCAATGATCTATTTAAACAAAGAGAACAAAACATTGCTTATCGTTGGTCAAGACACACAGACTTCTAAATCATTTGCTAGTGTTGAGGCATCTGCAAAAATGTGGCCAGGAAGCTGGAAATCAGATGCCTAAGGACATGAGGGATCACAGGGCATAAGGGGGATGTTGCAAAGCAGTCTGGCAGTCGCACTGCCTTTCAGTTCTGAAACTCAGGATCTCTAAAGGGCTAACATAAATAGGAGTTCTACCACATGGGCTCCTTCTCATTGATTTTTGGCAAGGTACAGACATTCATATTCACACGTTCACACACACAAATTCTTGGTCCTTCTAGCTGCTAATGGCAACCCCTCTCAGGTTATCTTCCATCTAGCCTATAAGTATCTTGTCTATACCCATTTGTGTTCATGTCATGTCTCCCACTAGAATGTAAGCTCATCAAGGACAGGAACTGTTTGCTTTGCATTTCTAGTGCCTAGCATAATGCCTGGCATACAGCAAATACTTAATAGATGCTTGTTTACTAAGCATCACCCCAAATTGAGAATTCTTTTAAAAATACAGGGACAATTCCAATGTAATTTAAACTCAATAAAAATTGTCATTACTTTACTGTATACTTTACCTCACCACGGTCTCCTAGCATGGAGTCTGGTGGTTTTGGGAGCTGCTGGCCGCTAATCACTTTCAGAATGAGCTGTTTTTTAGGGTTGGCGGGCAGTGGATCGCCACAGAAAGGGTTGAACGTACCTATGTGTTTATGCCAAGGAAGTAGATTTTAAAAACTCAAGTTAGTATCATGGGAATGTCAGTCAATACAAGCTGCCTGTGTCCTGCAGCAGTTCAGACAGAGGCAGCAGATGACAAGAGGAGGCATCCCACTGTTAGTTAGTTCCTTCAGAGTCATTACCATGTAACTATTTTTCAGGCTTGCTCTGTGCCAGCTGGCTTGCATGCCTTTAGGTTTTTTTTCCATTAAGCTAAGTGCCCAAAGGGCAGGACAATGGATTCATTCTAAATATGCCTCCCCAATTTAATCATCAAAAATGCAACTGCAAACATTGCTTGAAAAAAGAAAGCTAAATTGGATTTTAGTATTTAAAGCATTGAACCAAGTGAGGGAAGTGATTTTTTAAATTGAGAAAACAGTCACCCTTTTCTAACGTAGATATAATAGAAATAGATAAGCAAAACTCATTTTCAAAGTTGTTTCACCAACAGAAATCTGATCTGGAAACAATAAAAGGAGCTTAAATGACTTGGGCTCCAAATACCAGTGTTATAACCTGAAGTCTGTATCCACAACCTATTTCTCATTTTTATTAGGACTGTCAAATATTGGCATCTTCTGGGCTAACCTAGCTTGCCAACATTCTGACCTTCTTCCCATTTTTAGCACTCTGGTGACAGTTTCATAGTAATCCCCTGGTTCCCAAGAGAGAGGTCAGGGCTCTAAGTGTCAATTTCCCAATAATGTATACTAAAGGTCAGGCCAAGACAATGACTTTTCACACTTTGGGCTATTCTCTGTAAGCTACATTCACTGTTTAACATGCCAAACATTCCCTCAAGCTAAACTAATGCTAAGAAATCATCATGAGAGTCACAACCTCTAACACAAGGGCTCTTAACCGTTTTGTCACCTGGACCCCTTTTTCAGTCTGGTGAGTAACGTTTTTAAATGCATAAAATAAAATACAAAATAACAAGTAAAATAACAAAGGAAGCCAAAAATAAGTGAAAATAAAGATGTAACTTTTTCTCATTCAAGTTCATTGGCCCTCCCTCCACTCTTGAAATACATCCCTTGGGGGATCCATCAACCTCTGGGTAAATATCCTTGCTGTAATCTTATCACCTAATGTCCAATTATATAGAAGGATAGGTCAGAGTTCTTTCCAAAGATTGATTCATTTCCGCCTTTGTATTTCAAGTGCCTGGTGCAGGGCTTCATACACTTAATCAATTAATAAATATAATGAATGAAAAATAGAGGCAAACCTTTACACATCTGCTGGGGTTTGAGGACATAGCCACAGTTGCCGTTCATCTTGAATTTGGCCCGATTCAGCTGCATCATGCGCCCTTCGGATTGGTAGTTCAGGGCAACTGTATAATTTGAAAGTTGAGGAATTAGAGAAGGGGCCAACATGAATTAGCATCCTGGAGAACTGTTTTCCTTCAGGGGAAAGGAGAAGCACACACCTAGTTGGCAGCCAGCATTCCAATATGGTAGCGGGTTGAAGTTACTAGAATCAATCCTGTAGGCAGACGGGTAGATCCTGGTCAGCTGCTTTTGGTTATAAATCATGAACTGCTCTGACTTTTGTTGGACCACCTGATGGGCTCTCGTTTCACTGAAGGATAACACATTTCCTGTTGTCCCTGTTTTTTTTTAATGGAAAAGGAAATAGGGAAAACATGTCAAGAGAATGATACCCTTTAGAACATGAACATTTTATTTTAGAATTTATACCTTACTTCAATGCTACAAGAATCTATCATTTCATCAGTATGGATATTCCTTCTGCTATGGCAAAATACTTCTTTTCTCATATACGTTATCTCATCTCCCACCTCCACGCCTTTATACAAGCTGTCCCTTATGCCTGGCATGCCCTCACTTCTCACCTCTAGATTTGAGTCCCTCATTTTCTTCAGGGTTGGGCTCAAGACATCCTACCTAAGACCTTTTCTGATTTCTGATTGTATTTTCTCATCCCATCCCAATTACTGTGTATGTGTGTATGTATAATGTTTACTTTGCATATATTTTCTATTTACCTATCTGTGACCTTATTACTTCCTGATCAATAGAATATAAGCTCCTTGAAGCCAGAGACTGCTTCATTTTTCTTCTCATTGTGATCCTAATGCCTAATACAGTGTCTAATTTTTTGGTTTGTAATAAATGCTTGCTCAGATGATTGGTAGGTTACAACCTTAGTACGTGGTCTTCACGAGAAGCAGCTTTCTCCAACACACAGTGTCCACTGAGGTCATCAGGAGTAAGTAAAATGAACTAAGTAGTGAGTACAGATCTGCTTTTCTGCATTTTTGAAACATCCTATAGACCTCAAACCCACTGAAGAACGATCAGACTTACCAGTTTTAATGAGAAGTAACCTGAGCCAGCTGGGATCAGATTTACACAACCTCTGAGGGGCCAGACTGAGAGGGATTTTTAAGTGACCATGGGCCTCTCTCTGTCTTTCCTTTCTTCTTATAGAAATACACTCTTGCACAAGATTGACGTTTGAACGGCTTTCCAAAAGCGACCCAAACACACATGAATCAGTCTACTGATAGAGCTGAGCCACATTTGTGTGTAAAATATGTCACATTTTAATTATCTCCTGCTCGTTTTCTTGTGCAATAAAAACAGATGAAGTTCCAAAGCAGAATAGTGCCCAGCATTACTTTCCATTAGAGCTAATAGCATCAGGTTTCATACAGCATTTAGTGGAAAGGATATTTCCAGAAACACACACAAACATACTTTCTGGCATATTAGGACAGTTTCTGAGCTCGTTTTGGGGAGCATTATTAGACTGCGTTGTTCTCTTGCTAAGTTGTCACAATTTCATCACAACGAAAAGGACAAAATCGGTACCAAAGGGAAGAAATCCTATGGGATATGGCTGGAGGGAGTTGAAGAAAGAGCTCTCCCCACCCATACGTTAAGAAAGGACTCTTCATCTGAAGATGCAATAAATTTAGAGTTGAAAAATACCTTAAAAGCCATCTAATCTAACCCAGCTAGGTGGGTGCAGTAGATAGGGGACCTGAGTTCAAACCCAGCCTCAGACACTTACTAGCTGTGATCCCTAGGCAAGTCATTTAACCTCTGTTTGCTTCAAGTTTCCTCATCTATAATATTAGTTGGAGAAGGAAATGGTGAACCACTCTAGTATCTTTACCAAGAAAACCCAAAACGGGGTCACATTTTGGATATGACTGAAAAATGACTGAACACAATCTCTCTCTCTGTATATATATATAGTCTGTGTGTATATGTGTGTGTCTGTACGCGTACACACACACACACACAGACACAAATATATGTGTATGTATATGAAAAAGTACTGATCTGAATTGTAGGTTCAGACAAGCCTCGACAACATATCCATCTAATAGTGAAAAGAAGGAATCAATGAAGACAACTCTGGTCAGAAACCATCAGTTTTGCATGGAGCAGCGCTTGGATGAGAAGGAAGAGGTTCTGGCAAGGTTCTAGGCTAGGCAGAGCTATCCAGAGGAAAGCCGACTTTTCTCCGACCCACAGTGTCCATCGAGGCCGTCAGGAAGTAGCAGGCCCAGGACTAACTTAGAGCTTCTCAGGAGCTAGAGTAAGAAGTTATACATACCCTCAAGAACGGAAGAATGCCAGCCTATGTGGTATACAAGTCTTACGCTAAGGACTTGAGCCATAAAGGGGAGGTGATGGGACTGAAACCACAAGTTGATAGGGTGGCCAAGCTCTTCAGATGTTTAAATGCATCTACCATCCCACCCCCCCCGCCCACTCACACCCTATCCTTTCTCTTCTCCAGGCTAAAGGACTCCTTTTAGTTTTCCTATAGAATTAACTCAAGAACCCCCATTCTAGTTCTCCTCCTACGGACCAGGCTTTTCAGCACATCAATGTTCCTCCTAAAACACTGTGTTAGAATCAGGCACGTAGAGTTTGAACCCCACATCTACCCCTTGTTTATTGCCCACGTGACCATGGGTTAGTGACTTTTCTTCACTGGGTCCCAGTTTCCACATCTGTAAAATAAGCATCTTGGATTATATAACTTCTGAAGTCTACTCTGCCTCTATGCTCCCCACCATCCTAAGTGGCTAATTCAGCAGCTGAAAACATTCCTATCTGGGATGAAATTGCAATCTTCGAGATGACTTCTCTCAAAGTCAAGATTTCAGGAAAGGAATGAAAGAGCCCACCAAAACATCACTCTGATGCAATGATTGCTGTTGTTCATGCTAATTTGGACTAATCCTCTGTGAGCATCCTTCCTCTGATTAGCAAAGGCCATTAGAGAAAAGCAGGCTTTTATAGAACAGCATTTGCATTGGATTCCAGGGACTGCTGCTTAGAGAAAATCATTTGCTGCTGCACCTGATTCTGGAGTTGTCCTAATTTCTATTATCTCCCTAATAATAAAAGAGCAATTCACAACTTAATCCCCTGCCTGAACTCACTCTGACTCCCTCATCATTCAGTTAGTCAACCATATCTATTGAGCTATTGATCAATGCTGAGCACTGCATAGGAGTCAATCTGCTTTCCTTCTTGGAGCTAACACAGGCCCTATAAAACACGAGGCAATCTGACTTCCCAAATTGTCTTTGTCTGAAAAAGGCCCCAGATACCAAGGTTAATCCATTTCAAGGTCAGTCAATATTGCAAGGATCAGTTAATTTCAAGTGTGTGGAGTACTCCTTCCATCAACACAGAGGGCAAACCTGTAACTCAGTCAACTGAATTCAAAGTTCTTTAAGAGTTTCTATAGACAAAAATACTCTTCACTTTCTGCCCGTCACAACTTGGTGATTGGTTCTCTGAACCAAGCTAGGCTGGTACTCAGACAACACATGAGGGATCCTCCAGTGGGCTCATGGTCAAAGCCATTCCAGCTTAGTTAAACTTTCCAGAGATGGTGTTCGGCTAGTACAGCCTTCAAGAAGCCATGACAACCAGTGAGGCATCAGAATAGGAGTTCGGGGGAATATTTCAGTATCAATGGTACGGGAATCCCTAACACGGTGTAAGTGTCGTCTCCCTGTTAGAATACAAGCTCCTTGAGAGTGAGGCCGATTTCATCTTTGTCTTTACCTCCAATGTTCAGCACAGTGCCTGTTATACTGTAAGCACTACATAAATGTTTGTGGATTGACTGATCGAACAGACCTTGGTAATATCAGAAAAACACAAGCCTCACGCCTAGTCTTACCATCATCCACTATGTCTTGGGCTGCCACTGAATTGGTGTAGATAACTAAATCTGAGAGATCCCGGCACAGCTTCATGGTTTTCCTTCTGCGGCCAAGCCTGTAAGGAACACAAATGATCTACAATGCAAAGTCTATAAGTTGCTACACACTAAGAATTTTTCTTTGAAAATTCTTATTGTCCCCTCCCCATGGAATGTTTCATAATTTGTTGCTTCCTCATTCTACCTCCAAAGATTTTTGCTAGCAGCTGTCCTAACAGGTTGCTCTATTTCTTCATTAAGTTTTAAAGTAATTAATATTCTGTACTTTTCTAGTCCCTAAAGGTGAGGACCATGTCCCATCTATCTTAACCTATACTAGTTATTCAGTTCAGGCATTCTTTGGGATGCTCCTATATGAACAGAAGCTGATCACACATCATCCTTCCTTGAGAGTAAAGATTGTTTCATTTTTTTGTCTTTGTATCAGCACTGAGCACATAGTAAGTGTTTACTAGTAGGTCTAGCACATAGTAGGTGCTTACTAAAGGCTTGTTGACTAATTCATCATCATGAGCTATGAAGCAACCATATGTAGATTGCATCTCTTTCACTCCTCTTCCTGCACAAACCTTCTTCTCCAGTAGGCTCATCCACTCACCTCCATTTACTCAGCGGTTCTTAGCCTTTTTGTGTCATGGACCCCTGTGGCAATCTGGTGAAGCTTATGAACCCCTTTTCAGAATTATGTGTTTAAATGAATAAAATAAAATATATACGATTGTAAAGAAAACCGATGAGTTATCAAATATAGGTATAAAAACAAATTTCTAGAACCCCTGACATTTATTCACAAACTGAGGTTCAGAATCTCTGCTCTAATTCGATTGACTTCCTCTCACTTACCACATTTCCAAATCCAAGCCATCCTTCAAGACCCCCATCTCCATGAAGCCTTCAACATTTTCTGCCCCCCATTAACTCCCATCACTACATTGCTCATTTGGCAATGAATCATCATATTGTCACTTGAAATCCCATGCATTTACACCTTGACACTTTCACTAGGTTGCAAAGTCCTTGAGGACAGGGAAAATATCATTCTCTATATCCAACAGAGACACTTCGTACACCAACAACAACGTATTGATTGGACTCTCTAAGACATTACAATCTAACACAGATACTAAGTAGGAGACCACAGACATGCTGGGTAATTGCATGAACTTAGACTGCTATCAGGGTCCCTGACCTGTAGAGCTGGCCACCTTCCCTTCCAGAAGAATTATGCTGTGCTTCCTCATCGTCATCAGTGCTATTAGACTTGGACCTTGTCTTTGTCGTTTTCTGTTGGAGAAATCACAGAAGACTTGTCAGTAAGCCCATCCTGCCATGCATCTCTGAAATAGACATGGAATGAAGGGAGATTTAAAAGTGAAATGAGAGATGGGGGAGAGCCAGACTTAGCCTGAGGACATCAAGTACTTCCTTTTATCCTTCTTTGTGATCAACACCCTTTAACTCTGTACCTGGTACATATTAAGAGTTTAGATGTTGGCTGGACTGAGTTGAATACTAGTTGTCCCTCTGAATTGTTTTTCTTCTTTCTGGTCCCAAGAAGATACCTAGAGGTTGAGTATTGGAGAGTTCCAGTATCAACCAGGTATCTTGTGATACAACTCTGCTGCTGGGAGTAACTTGGTGTGAGATTTGCTGCTTCTACAAGGAACAGCACCCTGCACCTGGCTCTATCTAGGATCTGAGAATGTAAGCTCTTTATGAATCTGAATCTCCAGTGTGTAGCACACAGTAGGCACTTGATAAATGCTTATGGGCTGATTGGTTGACTTTATGATCTTCCCTAACAAGTTCCCAGAGAAAAAATGCTAGGTTTAGATTTGGAGAAGCTAGATTTGAAACTTGGCTTTATTTTTTAGTGAGAGCGTACTAAGGTAAATAGGTGGCACAATGGATAGAGTCAGGAAGACCTGAGTTCCAATCTTGCCTCAGACACTTAGTATCTGACCACAAGGGCAATGCAAGTCATTTATGCTGTCTCAGCCTCCAAAAAAAGGAGACAATAACAGCATCTACCTCCCAAGGTTGTTACGAAAATCAAATGAGATAATCTTGGTAAAGTGTTTAGCACAGTGCCTGGCATATAGTAGGTGCTTAATAAATGTTTATCCCCTCCCCCCCTCTCTGGCCTCAGTTTCTTCATCTATAAAATGAGGGCATTGAAGTATATGTCTTTAAGGTCCCTTCGAGTTCTAAATCTCTGAGCTCATGATCTGAAAACAGAAGAAAAGTAGACGATGTGAGGGGTAGGGGAGGCTAGAACCTTACTCACCAAAGCAAGGAGGAAGGGAGAGCCCCAGAGGCAGCAGGAGCCAGAAAGATAAGGTACCTCATCTATATGAGAATAGCTCCTAGAAATAATACTTGACAAAGGATACCAAACTGGGCAGGAGGCAGGGCGCAGCAAGGTGGCACAGTGAATAGAGGGCTGGTCCTGGAGTTAGGAAGACCCGAGTTCAAATCCAGCCTCAGACACTTACTAGCTGTGTGACCCTGGGTAAGTCACTTAACCCCATTCGCCTCAGTTTCCTCATCTGTAAAATGAGCCGCAGAAGGAAATGACAAGCCACTCCAGTATATCTGCCAAGAAAACCTTGAATGGGGTCACAGAGGGTCAGATAAGACTGAACAACAACAGCTCCACACTGGGCATCGCTTGTCTTGAGAAAAGCAAAGAAATGAAGGCTCCCCTCTCAAGACAGCAGTGATGCTTCTTGATTCCACTGTGTCTTGTAATGAACAAGTTCTCTATTTTCTGCCATGGTCATATAACTGGGTTCTGTGGCCCTGATACTGGGCACCCAATTCAATGAAAAATATCTCAGCATGTGGGTGATGGCTCTTGGGACAGAAATCCTATTGCTAATCCAGAATTACTCCTCTCCTAAACCCTCATTCAGTCATATGCCTCAAAAAAAGGGAAAAATTTTAGTTTTATATTCATCAAAGCTATCCCAAAACACCTGTTGTTGTTTTTTTTACATTTTTCTTCTTTTTTAGGCAATTGGGGTTAAATTACTTGCCCAGGGTCACACAGCTAGTAAGTGTCAAATGTTTGGTCTGAGGCCAGATGTTGAACTCAAGTCCTCCCGGCTTCAGGGCCAGTGCTCTCTCCACTGCTCCACCTAGCTGCTGCCCAAAACACATGTTTTTAAGCATTGCTTTTTAATTAGAGTGGCTGGTTATAGTGATTAAACTAAGAATTCTCCAGTGTCCCATGAAGCAACTAATTCAAGGTGATGATGATGATGGAGGGAAGGTCTTCTTTGTCCATTATTTCCTTGGGCTATCCCCCTGAGGGAGGCGGTGTCCAGCCTTGATATTACCTAATGCAAAGTGAGCAGGGTTTACAGAAATCCTGAGGCTGAAGAGGGTGAAGCGGGACTGCCCGTTCATCCTCTGAAGTGAATTAGGAAGATGTAGGTAATCTAGCAGCTCACTCAGAAGGAGACGGGTGTTCCCTGAGAAAACTTGTGATATTATTAGGATTTTTTTTTAAAGTTACATTTCCAAAATGTTACCAATTAATTGCTAATTGAACAAGCAAGAATGGAAGGGGAGGGATGAGTGAAAATTAGGCTAACTCACATTTTTATTCAAGGTCTGCTGTTGGGCCCCTGTATGGGTCATTATTGTCTAAAGACATGAGTCACTGGAATTTGGTTCTAGCAGGCCAGCCTTAGCTGGGCCCAATGCACAGCTTCCTTGCTAAACACTCATGTGTCTTTACTTCATAGCATGATTTTGATTTCTTCATTTCTTCAGCCAAGAGCTACCCAAAGGCACAGGTTGAGTTTGGGGTGGGTGGGGTGTGAGAAATTTTTTTTCTGATTTTGCTTTGTTTTTACAGAGTTCTACTCAAAGTCTCATTTCTGTCACCAGAAAAAAAAATCACAGATTTAGAGCTCAAAGGGACCTTATTTCATCTGACCCTTTCATTTTACAGATCAAGAAACTGAGCCTTAAAAGGTTAACCGGCTTCCCCAGAGTCACACAGTTATAAGAGGTAGAAGTCAGACTTTTAACTCAGGTCTTCTAGCTCCAAATCCAGATTTCAATCCACAGACCTCCTCACTCTCCACCATTATCAAATAGGATTCATTGGGTCCCCACTTGCTCAGGATGAAAATTTAAAGTCAAGGCTAACTTTCTGGACCTCGACTTCCTCAATTAGGACTTGGCGATAAGGCCATGTCCTCCATGTTCCTCAGAGAGTTACACTCTACAAAAAGAGTGTGAAGAATTTCCAGCACAATTTGGTCCGTGGATGGCAACATGTAATTTTAGTAACAAAGACAGTGTCTGAGTGACCTTTCAGACACAGTATCTTATTCTCTTCCCTCCTGGTGGCCAAGCAAGATTCTGATATCATGCATCACTCTCTATTTTTGCATAAAGACTTACTTGTCTCAGGAGCTTATGGGGCTGGGATAACAGGCATAAAAGGTACCTTGAAGATGACTGACGGTTCTGAAATTGAAAGGCTCACCAAGATTACTTAGAATTTCCTGTATATTTTAAGAACTCAATTCGGGTGCCACCTCCTACTTGCATTTCTTTTGTGTACCTAGAAGCAGTGTGACGTAGCGTATAGAGAGATGAGCTGGTAGACACATCCTGGCTATGTGACCCTGGACAGGTCACTTATCTTCTCAGTGCTCTAGGAACCTAAGACTATAACCTAATCTCCACTAGTAAAGGGAGTTTCCATACTGCGAAGGTTCCCTGTAGCAATGAAATCAAGGCCAGGAGATATGCTTTGTACATGCTCATTTGTGGCTACGTCATCTCCCTCGTTAGAATGTAAACTTTTTCAGGGCAGGGGCTGTTTCACTTTTGCCTATCCCCAGTCCCCAACATGTAGTGGGCCTTTAATAATGGTGGACTAAGTGATGGATGGAAGAGGCAGTGTGGCTATAGGAATCCCCGTATTTTTATTTTTACATACAATCTCACTGGACCAGATGGCTCATGGACCTGGGATAACTGTGATAATTGAATTAGGCTCAAGAAAAGTGCTCCAGTAGGAGTAAAGGGGCTTACATCCAGGCCCCAACTCTGCTAGTTAGTGCCCGTGACCTCGGACAAGTGGTTTAACCCCTCCGAGCCGGACTTGATGGCCTTTAAAGCCCCCTCCAGCCCTAAATCTATGACCTGATCCATCCATGCCTCAAGGATCTGGAATGGCATCCACGGGAAGGTCCCCCCACTGACACAGATGGCAATCCCTCCGTGACTCAGGGCAGCTGTGGCCAAAGACTACATCCCTGTGGCCAGCCTGGTGAACAGCCTTCCTAGGGCTGACCCTTGGAGAACAATCATGCCGTCGAAGTCCTGCACCAAGCCTTCTCTACTTGGTAGAAAATGTCAGAGCTCCTGTGTACATACATACACACACACACACAGAGCACAATTTGGTCTGAATATCAACATGCATTTTTAGTAACACAATCTACAGTGTCCTACTGACCTTTCAGATACCAAGGACCAAAGAAACATCTGGATACGGCCATTTCTTTTGTTGTTGTTTGCTTAAAATGGGACATAATAAGCCTGCCCCCTCCCCCCAAAAAAGTGGTTAGCATTAGGTTTAGGAATCAGACCTGGTAGAGACCTTGGGTCATGGACGGTCCAAGTCCCTCCCATGACAGAAGCGGTAGCCAGGTAGCTCAGTGGATAGAGAGAGTACTGGATCTGGAGGCAGAAAGGCCTGAGTTCAAATGTGGCCTCATGTGCTTACTAGCTGTGTGACCTTAGGCAATCGCTTTAACCTCTGTCTGCCTGAGTTTCCTCATCTGTATAATGAGGATAATAATACCTATCTCCCAAGGTTGCGAGGGTAAAATGAGATATTTGTAAAATACTTTGCAAACATATGAATACACATTCATATATACATACATACATATATGCATACATATATATATAGAGAGAGAAAGCTATTCTTATTGTTGTTTTTATGAAAACAAGGACCAGAGAAGTGAGATAACTTATATTAACCACACAGAGCAGGAAGACTCCAGTCCTTCTGTCCACTAGGCCACCCTGACCCTATGACTATAGGGTCATAGACAGGATTTTGAAGCGACCATTCGAATTAATTACAGTTAAAACTGTCAATATACACATTAGCAATTCTTTTCTCATACCTTATGTCTTCCAAAATTACTCATTAGGGACCGTCCATGAGATTTCCTTCCACTTTCTTTCACATCTGGATTCTGAGTAAACAAAAAGACACCGTGAACATGTTTTCAGCTTCCCTTTACAAGCCAAGAAAGGCATTTGATCTCATTGAGCTTTTGAGAACTTCCCCCCAGGAAATTCTGTTGCCAAGCCCTCTGAATTCTTCCTGCATAACATCTTTTATATCCCTCCTCACTTTCTATCCCTACCCTAGGATGGGGCCTCATCATGTCAGAACTGGACCATTACAATAGTTTCTGTGACCCCTCTGCTCTTTTCTATGTATCATAACCACATGAGTCACCCTCAAACACCTCTTTGTGCCTGTTACATCCCCGATCAAAAGCCTTCAAAGGCTCCTGACTGGCCACTCACTAAGCTCCACATACTAAGCTCCACATTCAAGGCCCTCCACAGCATAGCCCAAGCAACCTTGATAGCCTTTAGTTCCATTGTCATTCCCCTTAATGAACCTGCCAGACCAACCAAGCCCATCTTTCTTTATCTCCCAGACCACGCAATATGGTGCCCACCTTCATGCCTTCATTCATGCTGCTTTCCCACTGGGAAGGTTTTCCTCTTTCTCCTCAAGGTATCTAAAGCCTGACCTTTCTTGAGTCTTATTTCCTACATAAAGCCCTTCCTGACCAACCTGGCCCACAAAGAACAACATGGTTGCCAAATCTCAGAGTTGGAAGAGCACCAAGTTCAACCTAAACCTTTCTGGGGATCCCCTCTACACCATCCCCAACAAGTGGTCATTCAGCCTTGTTGGAAGGCCTCTGGGGATGGGGAAGGGGGGAGGATGGCTTTATACTTCCTGCAGAAAGCCTGTTCTATATATGAACACTCCTTATTTCCTTTCACAAATTGTGTGGTACAGTGGAAAGAGCTCTGGAATCCCAGGGCCTGGGTTCAAATACTATGTCTGATGCTTATTACCTGGATGGCTTCAGGCAAGTCACTTAACCATCACTACCACATTCCCAGGCTCAGTTTTCTCATCCCATCAGAATGGGGGGATGGGAGGTTTTAACTAGATGCCTCTGGTGTCCCATTTACCAGCTCAAGGTCAATGATCCTTGATGCTAAGGCTCAGGTTGCTTTGTTTCAACTTTCTTTCTGTCCCTGTCTCTGTAGCCTCTGTTTCTGACTCTCAGTCTCTCTGTGTGTGTGTCTCTATGTTTCTCTGTCTCTCTGTCTCTGTCTCTCTCTCTCTGTCTCTCTCTCTCATACACACACACACACACACACACACTCCATTCACACTCCAGCAATAGTACTTTGTTTCACTTAAGTCGGAAGATTAAGCACACAAGGAGTTCTCTTTTCCTGACCTGACAGTAAGCATTCTGGGATTCCATTTAATGTGGCTGGTTAGCCAGACGTACATCTTAGGCACTCAGCTTTCACTATCCGTTACAGGTAGATACAAATTCATTAAGAAATGCAGGTTTCTCAACCCCAGACTATTGAAAAGATCTCAGTCTACTTTATGAACACTGTCAACTCTTACTACTAGGACAGATCTTGGAACCAAACTCTAGGGAAAAGGTTAGATTAAAAACCCAGAAGCCAGAATAGCAACCCTGTCAACAGCTGAAATGACAAGGAGTGAGAGCAGACACAGTGATCCCAAACCTTTCATAGAGTCTGCCTTGGCTTAGCTCCTCACAATCCACTGCCACTCAGCTATACTGTAGGGTCATTTTGACCAACTCTGGCTTGACCCAGTTTCCCCCACCTGTACCCCATAACCCAGGCCCCCTCTTTCTGCCTGAGGAGTAAAGGAAACCAAAATGCATGCCAGAGCCCCAGCAGCTTCTCCATCCATCCTTCAGGCACACCTTTTGTTTCAGAGGGGTGATGTGCAAGGCTAAACAACATAGGAGACCAAGAGTTTAAGGTCTCCTTCAGGGCTCAGGAATCTCTAGTGATTTTCATTTCTGTCATTCCAAAGACATGACTGGATATCAAAATGGTCACACCATTTCAATCTCCTCTTGGCCCTAAGCTACAGGCTAGAGGGATGATCCTATAAGGTGAAGGACCAAGACCAGTGCTGGCATTGGATGGGGAAGGGGAAGAAATTTGCTGAAACAGATAAGGATAAATTCCATAATGGTCCCAGTCTGGAGGATCCCTAGACGGCCCTTTCCCCAAAAGCTTCCATTCCAGAACCCAACCACCCCACCACCCCGCATCCCCCGCTCCCACAGCAGAATGGTACAGGAAGGCTTTGGACTAACCAATGCAAATCCTTCCCCAGGGATGTAAGCCAGAGACATGAAAAGCCTTAATATGCTTGAGGGAAGGAGGGTCATATGCTGGCCCAGGAGATTACAACTCAGCAATCTGTAACCTGCCTGGGCTTGTGTGTTACCAAGAGGCCAAGAAGATGCACGACATTTATCTCCCTTTCCTCTCAAAATATCTGCCCAACTCTAAGAAGAATGGAGCACCAAGTCTAGGCCACCACCCTTCCAGCTCACACACTCTCCATTCCAATGCAGCTGGCTTCCCTGTGCCTTTGAACAGCTGATTCCCCTTGTCTGGAAAGCTCTTCCTCCTCCCATAGTCCCTGGCTTTCTTTAAAGCCCAGCTCAGGTTTAACCTTTTATATAAAGCCTTCTCATGATCCCTCCAGTTGACAGTGTATTCTGAAATTACTCTGTATTTACTTATGCGTGCATATACTATATCCCCTACCCTATAGAATGCTAACTCCTTGGTGGCAGACTGGTTCTGCTTGTTTCCCCCTGGTATTCCCAGCCCAGCATGTAGTAGGCATTTTTTACATGTTTTTTTGAATTCAACTGAATTCACCAATGATGGTGACCCCATGGCCTCCCCGTCAGGGAAAAGGCTCTGAAGCTTTCACTGTGGCAACCCAAGCCGTCCCTGGCTTTCTCTTCCCCTCCAGGTGAGATGCTGTCACTAAGGAACAGAGGTAGAATCAGGGAATGAGCCAGCCGCAGAGCTTTGCCTGCATCACCCACAGGGCCAACTGGCCCACCCCAGGAGCTCCAGTGATGTGTTAAAACCCTGTTTCTCCCATATCTGGATCAAAGAAGCAGAGAATTCGAGGTGCAGGGGATCTCAGAGGTTATCCAGTCCAAACCCCTCATTTTACAAATGAGGAAATTGAGACCCAGAGAGGCTAAGCGATTTGCCAAAAGTCACACAGGTAATTAAAGTATCAGAGCCAGGATTTGAACCCAGGTCTCAACTCCAGAGTCAGTTGTCTTACTACTATAGTTTGGATTCATAAGCAGCACTTACAACTTTTTCCAAAAACTCTTTTTCAGTTAGAGGAAAGGATACTTAAGTGTTTTGGAAAAGGCTCAGATTCAACAAAAAAAAAGGGAGCGTCATCTCACATTCAATCATATATATTAATAAAAAAACAAAGTTGCTATTTTATTGGCAGATTTACTTATGCATCTATTGACAAGGGCTAGACCCCACAAGGATTCCCCATACCTGCTTCAGATGTACATTTAAGCCTTCATGCGTAGCCTTCAACAGAGCTCGAACAGTGAAACTGTCAGCGTCTTCTTTGTCCCTGATTTGAGATTCTTTTAATAGTGATTCCAATTTTTTCCTTATGAAAGATTCCACTTGATGATCAGTTGTCCCATTATTCTGAAAAGATTCAGAAAATATCAATAGAATAAGTGACTTCCTGGCCAATGCTGGAAGCCAGCAGCAGCTTCTCAATGTCAAATACCTCTCACAAAGCTATGCTATCGTAGCCTCATTATACAGCTTCAAGTTTGCATTTTAATGCTTTGGAGAAAGGATAGAAACTGAGACCTAGGGAGAGAGAGAGCCCCTAAAGTTCTGATAGGCTAGACAAATTCCTAGGGTGATTTGCAAAGCTAAGTAGAGAGATGGGTCACTTTATTTTGAAAGCATACTGTCCTCACTAGGATGGGGAGGTGCAGAATTGGCAAAAAGGTTCAGGGGAGAGGGTGAGCTGGTTCTTCTGAGCTGGAGGGCCTGCTATGTCCCAGATACATTGTGTGACTACAGTGGACCAGAAGGAAGACCACTGAGCAAGACCCCAGGAGACTGAGGATGGAAGCCAAGAATCTCAGCATTGCAGAGTTGGAAGGGATTACCTAGGAGAAGATCTCAGTGATCATTCTAGGCTAGTGGTGGTCATACTGCTTGGTCTCGGGAAGCCTTTATACTCAAAAACTATTGAGGACCCTCCCCAAAGAGCTTTGCTTATTTGGGTTATATTTATTGATATTTACCATATTAGAAATTACAACATCTTAGTATTATTATGAAAATAGTTTTGATCTCATAGCCTCCCTGAAAGGTGTCAGGGACTCCCAGGAGGAGTCCATACTTTACAAACCACTGATGTAGTCCAATCTATACTCAAAAGGAATTTCTACTCAAGCATATCTGGCTTTGAAAGATTAGTTGAATTTCTATAGGTAGAGACAGATAAGGACGGGGGGGGGGGGGGGGGGGGGGGGGGGGGGGGGGGGGGGG